CATACTTTGAGGTATCCTCGTAATAACCTTATTATTATACATCTTTTCCTTCCAAGAATACATCATAGGAATGTGGAAATACAAAAAGTTTAAAACAGAATCAGCGAAATCTTTGTGTGGAGGCAGCCATGTTTGTTTTTATTATTAGAGGACGCTTACACACGTATCAATCTATATTTGGAATTCGCATTTCCTAATATGGTACATGTGTAGGATGAAAATACCCCGTAAAATACCGCAAAATTACGACATGCTGTAACTTATGGCATTACAGTGATGTATAATAATATTATTTATAATCATTCTAAACACTTTGGCAATTACGTTGTCAATTCCTCTTTATTCTTTTTAATCTTTGTATGATTTCTGTCAGTTTTATTAGATAATTTATGTCAATGTAGACTGGCGCAGTCGGGGCGATTAAATATTCATGAATGCACTTATTATAATGATGTGGGCGGGGAAATACGTGCATAATGAGGTCAACATGGTAAAGGTCACACTGCAGACCCAACATGGCGGCACGTTGAAATTCGAGTATGTCTTAGTCGTAATTTCTAATTAATCACAATGTGTAAAAAAAGTAACTCGTACTAGTCGTAGAATTAAAAAAAAAATCGGCTGCTATAATCAGCCGATGCCTTCTCAGTCAGAGGTAAGTTGAAGAGACGTTGTGATTGGCTTAGATGATTGTCAATTAGAACACATTAACATAATTACCCATTGAAAAATCAGCGGGTTCCTGGCAGTAGGGGTGATTTCGCAGTTACAATGGATTTCGTGCTAACACCTCCATTTCGCAATTTTTTTATTTTATTTAAACTACAAAAACAAAGTAATCGCCCGACTGCGCCAGTCTAATGTCAATGTTGTCTTTCATTTTATTTTCTAATTGTTCTAATTTATTTCTATTTCTATTTTATCTGGAGTTGTGTTAATATTTTTACTAATTAATTGAAAATGTTCAATCTATGTACATGTATGTGTATGTATATGGATTTCGT